AAGTTGAGACAAATTCACATGTTTTATGAGTTTAATTGAAAAGTTTAATTTATTTTTGAATCCAGTTAACAAATGTTTATAAACATTGATTAAGATTAATTAAAATATTATTTAAAAAAATTATTTAATGCAATAATTTCACAAAAATTAATAAAAGATAATATAATAATTATAAATTATTTTTCTTAAATATCACCTTAATCCGTGTTATTAAACACGAATTAGTATTTTTTTATTTTTTATTTTTTATGCAATACACATATTTATATATTTTAAATTTGAAATCTAGCTCTACTCAATTTGATTTTTAAATTTTTTTTTGAATAATTGATAATCTTAATCAGGTAAAACTTAGATAAATGGATAATTTTTTAGTCAAACACTTATAATATTGACATAATTTATTCATAATAAAACTCCTTAAGTTTAATTTATTTTGATTATATCTTGTTCTTCAATGTTTTTAAACAGTCATAATCATTGCAAATAAAACTTTTTTCAATATATAAAGAATTTATTTTTTAAAAAATATTATTACTTTATTTATTGTTTTTAAAAATAAGTTTTTAGCGTTTTCAATAAAAAAAAAAAAACTCATTTTTTTGTAATTTCCATCTTTTTGACCTTTTTGCTGTGTTAAAAATATTTGTAGTGGTTGGTAGATTTGTTCAAAGGCTACTTATCCTCTTAAATCCGAAAGTTTATTTGTAATTTAAAAATATTTAAATATAAATTTTAAATTTGTTAAATAAATTTGCATTTAAATTTTAAATTTGTTTAAAAAATGAGTTGAGTGTTAAGCATAAAATTTGAAAGTTAACCTCGATCTGGATAATTTTTATATATTTTTTATATTTATAATTTTAATACATAAAAATAAATATATAATTAAATAATATATATGTTCCCATTAATACCATAGGTAAAAGTTTTATCCAAACATAAAATTAAATTAATGAAGTTATTTTTAAATATTATTTTATTGATTATTTAATTTTTTATAATTTATTATAAAAATTATTTACTTTTTAAATTAAAATATGAACGGACTCGAACGAATTTGCACAACTCCGTTTAAAAATAATCGAACTTAGACAATAAAGTTAAACTCCTTTTTGGAGTAAATTAGGATCTAAATAAATTTACAACTTATTAATATAATGCCTCCATACGGTCCGACCCCACCTATGGACAGGTCTAGTAGCCAGTGGTGGCAGGTGGGAAATACGCCAATACCGCAAGACAGCAGCAGCCAGTTTTTGGTCTGCCAATTTTCCTACAATTGGTTGACGTTTTGGCTGCTGAAGAATAAAATACCTGAAAACAGGCGTAGGGGCAACTAAAGAAGGAAAGAATTGTTGGCCAACAGAAGAAGGAAAGAGTTCCATCACTCGACGTCTCCCTTTATCTCGTCGAGTGGAATAATTAAGCATGGCCGTCGTCGGAGTATTGGCTTTACAGGGATCATTCAACGAACACATAGCAGGCAATAATCTCTAACTCTGATATTCAAACTGTTAATTGATGAGTTTTATTTTTGGTTGAACATATTTGTACTCTTCTTTTTTTTTTTTTTTTTTTTGCAGCGCTTAGGAGGCTAGGAGTGAAAGGAGTGGAGATAAGGAAGCCAGAGCAGCTTCAAAATATCAGCTCTCTTATCATTCCTGGTGGAGAAAGCACCACCATGGCGAAGCTCGCTGAGTTTCACAATCTAGTATTCTCTCTCTCTTACTCTCATCATTTTCTACTGTTTTCTCTTGAGGCAGACATCCAAGTATAAGAGATTAAATTCTGATGCATTTTGAAAAAATGGTTTCTTTCTGTATTCCCATATTTCTTCCGTTAAAAAGCATGGAATACCCGAAAAGCCGTTTACCTGTTATGTTATTACTTGCCTTTTGCTAGTATTTAAAGCAAAAGCAAATGTTAAGATGTAAGATCATTTTGGTAAAAAATGAGTAGATAATTAGAATCAAGTATTAATTCAAACAAAGATATTCCATGTAAAAGTAAATTCGTGGACTTTAATTGTTATCATGGAAGTTATTTTTAAAATTTTATTGTTTGCTTTTGTTTCCAAAGTTCCCACACATTTCTTTTGTTTTTACTTCCAAAACCAAAAGCGAAAAAGTAAGTAAAGATATTGACGAAATGGAGCCTAAACGATCATTGCTTGCAGTCTAAGTATCATAAGGTTGAGTTTGGTTATTAGATCTTTCGAAGGATATGTAGCCAAAGACTCAGCATATAAGGGAAAGAGTTACTCTAGCTGACCTTGATTGAGTTGAGTATAGTTATTAATGAGTTGTTTGCAACCAACCGACCAAATTTCTTTACTGCATGTCATATCTGAAGATAAAAAGATATGGAGTCTTCAACCTCATCTTGATCTTGATTTTTAATTAAAATGCACTCCCGAGCCTAAACATTTTGTTATGCACACGGGTCAGTTCTTGCATTTATTGGAACATCACAATTGGGAACATTTATAAGTGTCTCATTTGCATTTAATCGGTTAATATTTTTAATTTCTGGTCAGTTTCCAGCTCTGCGGGAGTTTGTGCAAATGGGGAAGCCAGTTTGGGGGACTTGTGCAGGTCTTATATTTTTGGCAAACAAAGCTGTTGGTAGGTTTCTGTTCTTTCATTTCTCCTCCCCCTTCTAGATTCTGCACACTAAATTTGCAAAGTATTTATGATTTGCACCAAGCAATTTATCAAAATGAGATCATTGAAAAAGTTCTGAATTTGAAATTAGTGCTGCAACTTTTTTAGGACAGAAAGAAGGAGGGCAGGAATTAGTTGGGGGCCTGGATTGCACTGTCCATAGAAATTACTTTGGCAGTCAGGTAATACATATGCCTTCTATTTTACTGTATGTCCAACGATGCTTGTAAAGACATGCATCTTTCCGAAGGTTGTGTAGTGGTTAGTGAATAATGGAAATTTAAATGTTAAAAGACATGCATTTAGTAGAATGGAAATCCAGAGAAATTGCACAACTCCCATGTTTTCTTATCAGCATTTTCAGATGCAAATCTTTTATTTGGCAAAAAACCACTAGCATGGGTCCAAAACCTAAGTAATGGTGGGATTAGTTAAAGGATTATAGGTAATGAGGATGCTATAATGGATGTCCGGATGAATTAGAAAATGTCTATGTCAAGTGGGTAGGGGAAGACCCGAGACTTCAGGGACATGGATGAAAACTATCCAAAAAATACCTTGCGTTTTACCAGTTTCACTAGGATATGGTAGTTGAACTCCGTATTGTGACAGAAGCCTCTGCTTGTTGGGGGGGTTGTTATTGCTTGAAGATATCTTTTTCAACATCCCATTTGTGCTGATAATTTGCTTAAATAGGTGTGTGAAATTCAACAAGTATTGAAATCTATACTATAAGAAAACAGTGACAGCTACTTTGAGAACATGTTATAGTCAGTATTATGTTTTGTAAGTAAATTGATATGCTTCACCTAACTAGCTTAGCACTGTTTTTTTTATATCTAGAAAGTAAAAATCTCTTTTACTTGGAGAAATGTGATATCAATTTTACAGCCGTGAAGAAGAGTTCAATAACCTCCTGTCCTGGTTTTTCAATTTGATTTTTGTTTAAACTACTAATATTGAACTAAATTATTTGTTATTTAACGAATCAATTTTATTTAGATCCAAAGCTTTGAGGCAGAGCTTTTAGTACCAGAACTTGCATCCAAAGAAGGTGGCCCTGAGACATTTCGTGGTGTTTTCATCCGTGCTCCTGCAGTTCTCGAAGTGGGGCCAGGAGTTGAAGTGCTGGCTGACTATCCTATTCCATCTAATAAAGTGCTATACTCCAGTTCAGCTGTTGAAATCCAAGAGGTATACTTGCGCTCTTTCTAGTGAATTTTTCTTCATTGCAATAATTAAAAGTAAAACAATGAGAACTTAAAGACATTGCTTCAATTGAAGAAGGCTGGATTTGATAATTATGCTTTCCTATACCTTTTCCTACAATGTGTCATAAATCTATTTTGTTTTTATATTTCTTTAGTTAAAAAGTTAGCCGCATAGGTTGAATTTTAATGGTCCCTTCATCTTTATTATTGATCCAGCAAAGAACTTGATTTTGCATAATGTCGTTATACATGATTAAGATGTCTGTTATTGGTTCTTTACCTTCGGCTGTATTAATTCTTGTTATCTATATTTTTGGGTATTTCAGGAGTATGCTGTGCCTGAAAAGAAAGTGATAGTTGCCATAAAGCAAGGAAACTTGCTAGGGACTGCTTTCCACCCTGAGTTGACTGCAGGATACTAGATGGTATAAAGATGTTAAATCATCCATTCAAGTTATCATTTTTCTTGTGATCTTATCTGAGGTTCTAAATGGATTTTCTTTTCAATGCTAAGCCAAGGTTCTAAATGGTCGTTTGTGCAGGCATAGTTACTTTCTAAAGATGGCAAGCGAAGTTGAAGAGGGAACCTCGAATGCCATTGTTGCAGTCAGCAGAGGGGATCCAAGTTCTAACCAACAAACAAGATATGATCTTCCTATATTTCTATAATCAACAGTGGCGATGAGATTATTTTTAGTTTTTTTCTTTTTTTTTTCTTTTCTTTTTCTTCCTGTTCTGTTTTCTCCTCATCACTTGTAGTGTCTCCATGTTTGTGGATTTATAAATATCTTTCGAAAGATTAGTATCTATTTGACAAGTATTCTTTTAGGTGACATTTAGTTTTGAGACAGATAAAGAGTTTGGTTCTATATGGTAAATGTAATTTAAACTTACATTTAGGCTCTGATTGATCGTTGCTCTTGCTATTTTTGGTACAAATTGTTCTTGCTATTTGTTCATGTGACAGACCCATTTGCAACATATTACTACAGTTATAAAAAATGATAGGGAAAATACGTTACTTCCCCTAAAAAGCTCCCCTAACTATAGTTTCCTGGTGTTGTTTCAAAACCTACTTTCCACCATCATCGTTAGTCAGTGTTAGTCAGAACCATTAGCTAACATGGCAGTAGATTTTGTGAAAATAAAAAGATTGGGAATGCCTTATCTGATACATGACAACCGCAACTCCCATGTTCTCTCCATCACAGAACAGTCACTGGCTGGTCTCCGACCCATGTTAGATGTTGCTCTATTTAGTTACTATTATTAGTCAGTGGCACATTTAAGATTTGTTTTGGTTGTATCCACTTATCAAATATTATAAAATGTTTTTAATGTATTTATCAATTTTGTTGATGAAAATAATGTTTTTCCTTCAAAATTTTTTTATTTTTCAATTTTTTGGGGTATTTAAAAAAAATTTTAAAAGGTGTTCAAAAAATTTGTTCTTTTAAATTTTCTTAATTTTTAATATTTGGAGAGTGTCCGTGGACACCCTTTAACAATGGATCTACCTCTGTTATTAGTCACATTGCATCTTGAATTTTTAAATTCTGTATCTTTTAAATCGAGTATCATGATAATCGGAATTTTAACACCATTAACTTAAACAAGTTATTACATGACATTTGCTTTAATATTATCAAATTATGTTTACACGAAAATATCAACATTTTTTTTCAACATTAATTAAGAAAATTTGAATATATTTTCCCTTAATCAACAAAATGTCTGCCTTACATTGAACAATTGACATGACATGCATATGGAATTTTCACAAAATATTTTGTGTTTTTTGAATTAACACATGCATATGCGTATAGTATTGATATATATAACCTACCCTGTTGTGAGGGGTGAAAATTTTAGAAAATACAAGAAAAAAATATCGGTTAATGATTAAGATTATGATTATTTTGATATTTGTATTTCGACACTTACATTAAGAGTTGCATCTAAAAAAATTAAATAAAGGTTTCAAGTCAAGAATGTCAAATAAATTAGAAATATATGGAATGAAGTTATTTATATTTTGTGTGATAGAAGATTTTGGCTTAGGATGGCTCGAAGATCAGTATAGGGAGATTAGGGTTAATTTTATAAGTCCTAACTAAGTTAACAATTGGACTATCCACTTAAAGTATATAATTCCAATATCTTGAGATACTAATTGTTAGATTACTAAGATGATCGAGTTAATATAAATCTTAAAATTTTGATTAAACTCAATAAATCAACTCAATAAAATAATTTAAATGACTTCGCTTCTAATTACTTATACTTTTAAAAAATGTTTATTTTATCCTTTAGATACTAAAGTACCCCTAGGAAGTACAATATACTAATTTAATGCTATTTGAGAGTTTTAAAGGGTAAATTGTTCAACAACCAATTTATACCAATTTGCATATTTTAATTAACACATAATGTGTATAGCACAACATCATATATATATATATATATATATATATCTGTGTGTGTGTGTATTGTTATGCAACAAATACTTGGATGATTTGATGTTGATGGCTTTTTGGGTTTGATGCAGAATGCATGTTGGAAAAACTGGTCAGATGGTTGATTTGGAGATTGGAGTGGCCCATAATAAATGGAATGTTCAGGGGGCGTCAAAGGTAAGATTTTTGAGACGTTTTAATTTTCAAGTCAACCAAAATATAGGAGGTGAGGAAAGGTAGAGCAAAGAAGAAAAAGAAGGTAAGAAAGTAGGGGAGAGTATGTGAGATGGGAGTGAAAAATCATAATGAGACATCCCTGTCCTGATTTTATCTGTTATAATGGATTGGCATTGACATAATTAGTTAGCTTAGTTGCTATTAATTAAGTACAAAACTAGTTGAGGTGATAGTGAATATAACCATCAATAGATGTTAAGTTGACGTTTAAAATGTTGACCAAACGATCTGAGTGAAAGATGAACATAACGTGAAGAGCATTTGATTTGTTAAGAAGGTTAAATAGAAAAAAACAAAAGATTCAATAAAAAATAGTAAGAAACGTTCGAGGAGTTGTAAGAAATTCAATGATGTTTTTAACTAAAAATTGAATGTAACAAATTCAACTGCAGCCCATCTTAAAATTAGGAAAGATGGAAAGATAGAGCGCATCAAAACACCTTAGCCCAATCTATAGGGCCCAGATATTAGATCTTGCTTTGGAGTTTGAAGTTTTAGACTTCCCCAAAATCCGTGAGAGAGAAAGGGGGAGAGCGCCATGGCCTCCTCCAAGAAACCCAAAGAAGAAGGAAACAACAAGAAGAAGAGCAACAGCACCCCTGCTAAAGAGACAAAAAAAGCCATAGAAAAACCGGACAAGAAAGCCAGTACCCAAAAAAACCTAACAAGTCAAAGCCAAAGGCAGACAATAACAAAAACAAGAGCAGCAATGGAACCCTGGTCGAGTCCGAGGTTATTGCTGACCCATCTTCAAACACTGAATCAAGAGAACAAGAAAACGGAAACAAGACCAACAAGAATGTTAAACCCAATAAGAGGAAACGCAAGGAAAAAGTAGAAGAGAATGAGGAAGAAGAAGCAAAGATGTTTACGTTTCCTATGAATAGAATAAAGAGGATAATTAAGAGTGAAGATTCCCGTATGGCTATTTCTCAAGATGTTGTTTTTGTTGTTAATAAAGCCACGGTAATTCTCATTTCTCTGCTTTTTCTTGGTTTTTTTTTAATGCCAGTATGGTTGTCCTTTTCCGTTTCATTTTACTCTTTCAAATTATAATGTGGGTTCAATATGTATATATTCCAATGTCAAAGCTTGAAAAAAGATTCACTCTTGCTGTTATTCGTTAGGTCTATGCTTGTTTGAATGCATGCTTGACAAAAATGGGAAGTAAGTTAGAGAATTGAGAACAAAAATATATTGAAAGGTTGTTTTTTTTTTTTTCTTCTAATTGTTGTTATTAGTTATTTGCTTCGAATTCTTCTCAAAATTGGTCTTTTTTCTTTGTTGTTCAAGATACTTGTTCTTTTGTGTAACTGTTGTTTCTTCTTCTCTGTGAATAATGGTATGAACATTATTTGCCACAATGGTAATTATCACTCTGTTTCATTTTATCTCTTTCTGTCCTTGAACATGTTATTTTATGTCTCAATGTATTCTTGGTTCTTGCAGGAAAAATTCCTCGAACAATTTTGTGAAGATGGATACAAATGCTCTGTGGAAGATCGCAAGAAATCGCTTAGTTACAAGCACCTATGTAAGTTCCCTTTCTATCCTCTTTGTATATGTGCTGGTTTTATCCTGCATTGTCATAATGTCTTTAAAATGTAGAATATTAGCATGAACCATAACTTACTCTACCTTATTAATATTTGCTCCTACAAAACACTAAATACTGTGAGGATCAAAACTAGTAATTCTTTCTGGTAAAGATAGGAGTAGGAACTCTGATGGTAGACCTGGCAATTTGTCTATCCATGTTGTGTCTGTTTGCCATAAAACATTTCTAAAACACGAAAATTGCCATGTCACGATTTGTGTCACATGCCAAATACAACACACATATTTTGGTTTTTGCCAAACCCACATATGTTTTTCGTCAATTTAAAATTGTGTAACTTTCATGTCTTTTTTGTATCATTTGCATGTTGTGTCTGAAATTGATCTGATGGTATCTCTCGAGTGGTTTCCTTAGATCTGTTATTTGTTCATAAGGATTGATATTTATAGTTATAGTATTTTTTTTTTTTTGAAATAAAAAGTCAAGATTCTTATGGAATGTGATACTGCCATTTCAGTCTCATGGTTTGATAGCCAAGAAGAAAGTTTTCTGCAGATGGGTTTGGAAAAATTTACTAATTACTAGAGTTTAAATTCTAGTTATGAGGGCTAGAGTTGTACACATATAGCGATTTCTATATCACATCAAAATTGACCCTCTGCTTGTGTCATTAGAATTGAAAATTTTAGGGGTTTGAATTTGGCTCTTGATTCTGATATTCTATTATGGATCATGTAGGTGAACCATGAACTAATTTGAGATCTGATGATTTCAAAATTTTAATCTGCCGTTTCTCTGCACCAGTATGAATCTTAAATATCTCAAAAAGCCTAGTCTCTTTCCATTGCTTGTGATTGGTATACATGTTATGGGTGCTTGAAATTATATTAAGATTCTCCGGATGTTTTTTCCATGTATATATATATATTTCATCTATAATTTAATATTTTATGAAGTATATAATTGAATGATATTATATTTTTCATTTCTTGAAAAGTGGATTGTATACAACTTCATATTGCTTTTATCGTGTTGCTCAAACCCGTTTTAAAAGAATTTGATATTTTTGTTGCAAAAAGCTGTTAACATATTTGACTGCAGTAGTATTAAGATGCTCCTCCCATATTTGCAGCAATGGTTGTTTGTGAGCGGAAGAGATATGACTTTCTATCAGGTACTTTTCTCTCTAATTTGTTTATTTATTTTTATTTAGCCAATTGCCGGGCTACAAAATAGAAATTAATGTTCTTCACCTTCTCCTTCCCTTTAGCGCCTTTATATATGTTGAGGGTGGAATTCCATTCCAAGTCATCCCTGGAACTGCAAAAAAACTTTAGTAGCTAAACTAACTGGCATCTTTGCTGTCCTATCCTATTCTCGTTGCCAGCTATCTTCCCAAAGTTTATCCTGGTTCCAAGTTTTTTCCGCATTGGTTGAGCTATTATTTAACATTTGCTGGAATTTTTTTTCCTGTGTTTCCAGATTATGTCCCTGAGAAAATAAAAGCTGAAGATGCATTGAAAGAAAAAAATTTGACTGAGACAGAGGCTGGATAGGACCTTGGGATACATACAAACAGAGATGATGATCGCACTGACCTGCTTGGACAATTAGGCTTTGTCATTGGCTTGTTTATCGTTGTCAGTTAGAAGAGGATATTGCTGTGGTATAACTTCTTTCACTAACACGGATTTGATCTACAGGTCCGCTATTATTTCTCTAACAGTGTATCCCAACTTGAACTAATGCATGTCCATACATGTCTTGTAATGGGATAATTTGCATATTCAACTAGTGAAATGATTGATAATCCTGCTATGAAGATGATGGGCCCATGGTTTTACCATATAATGCTCAAGCCATGTGAAATAATTCTTAAGCCATGCCATCTGTTTTACCATCTATACATGCTCGATGATAGCTCACGTCCTGTGTCACGGACAATGTGACCGAGAAAGTGGATTTGGGTCTGAGCAAATGCACATTTCTCCATTTTCACATACAACTGGTGGTCTTGTAATCTTCGAAGCACTTAGCACAAGTGTTTTTGATGTTCTTTCAGAGTAGAGCTATATACCATTATTTCATCTAAATAGATGACTATAAATTTGTCTAGATAGTCATGGAACACCTGATTCATCAATGTACAAAATGTGGAAGGAGCATTGATCAGTCCAAAGGGCATAACAAGAAATTTAAATGCGTCATATCGTGTTACACAAGTGATCTTTGGCTCATCTCTTTCAGCAATTCTGACCTGATGATAGCTAGATCTCAAGTCCAATTTGAAAAAGTACTTGGCTCGGCTTAGTTGATCAAACAAATCTGTTATAAGAGGGATGAGATATTTGTTTCTCACGGTGACTTTGTTCAGGGCCCTGTGGTCAACACATAATCGTAAACTTTCATCATGCATTTTTTGAAATAGCATTGGCATTCCAAAAAGGAGCCTTTGATGGTCTAATGAACCCGGTTGTAAAAGTTCATCTAACTGTTTCTTTAGTTCGGCTAACTCTGACGGGCCCATACGGTAAGGAGTTCTAGCAGGGGGTTTAACTCCTGGGAGGAGCTCAATTTCATGGTCCACGATTCTTCGAGGAGGTAGAACCTTAGGTAATATCCCTGGCATCACCTCTTCGAATTCTTTCAACATTTTTTTCACGTCATTGGGTATCGGTTTCACTCCCAACCCTTTCTTGTAAATCGGCATGTCCATAAAGAAGGGTTCACCTCTCTTTACTCATTTCTTGAATTGTAAAGCTGAAATCATTTTCTTCTCATTCTTTGGCAAGATAGTGGCCGGCACCACACATGGGTGCTCCCTTAAGAACAACAGGCAACTAGCGACGGGGATAGGGATCACTTGAGCTAACATCATGAAGTCCAATTCGAGGACGACATCAAATTCATCTATGGGGAAACTGTAAAGTTTACATTCCCTTTTCATGACCTCAATTTGGTCATCACACTCTTGGAGCTTCCACTGATCGCAAAGGTTGGCGAATTGATTGCCTTTATTCGCCTACAGTCCTTGCTAACTTGGAGATCACATCTTTTTGCTTCTTCTGGCATGATGAAGGTATCGGTTGCACCCGTATCTACCATGACCCTGGTGGGCTTCTCATTGATCATTAATTTCACATACATCAGGCCTCTATCTTTGCTTTCTTCTTTATTGTGTTCAGTTGGGTGTGAAAGGTATTCAAAAACCTTATTAAAACCCATCATGGCTAGCTTATCTTCAACTTCTTCAATGATTTTGGTGTTTTTACGGACTCTTGAGACGGGGTTCTTAAGGCATTAAGGATTCCTCTGTGTGGGCATTCGGTCACCTGATGCGACCCCTTGCATAGAAAGCAAGCTAGTGGTTGCCTAGGCTTAAAAATTATTGTATTGTTTGTCTTAGGTTGGGTGCTATCTCGACCAAAAGACCTCTTGTCTGATCCCCCACTGAAGGGTTGGTCCAATCTAGTTATCTTTCTCCCATTATCAAAGTTGAAGTTACTGCCAACTGATGGAGGATTTTTTTATTTTGAAGAGCCATCATTATAATCATGGAGACGTTCAGCTACAGCTATGGCTGTGGTCATGTCTTACATTTTTTATCTTTGTAGTTCTGTCCTGGCCCAAGGCTTGAGGGCTCAAGGAAATAAAACATCTTGTCTTTTTTAGACATGTCTCGAATATCCAACATCAGGGTAGAAAAACTCATTGCAAACTCTCGCACTGTTCCTGTTTGCACTAATTCTCGAAGTTTTCTTCGGGTCATATACTCTACATTCTCAGGGAAGAACTGGTTTTTCAGTTCTTGTTTCTGGTCTATCCAAGTCTTAATTGGACACTCGTCATTGACAAACTTGGAGCGCCACCATAGCTTGGCATCCTTTGTGAGGTACATCGACGTCAGTGCTACCTTTTCCTCTTTTGAATCCGTGTGTACAGCTCGAAAGTACTGCTCCATGTCAAACTGAAAGTTTTCAAGCTCCTTGGCATCTTTTGCCCTCTCATAGCATTGAGGCTCCAGCACTTTGGTCTTTTTTTCCCTTTCCGTCAAGCTCGAACTCGATCTGGCCATAACCATTTGTATGATGCTCACTTGTGCTCTGAGCTCTTCAAACTCATTTTGGAAAACATTCAAGGCATCTCTAGCCTCATCGCTCACGTTGTGAAAAGTATCGGATAACTCCTGCTGGGTTGTCTCGATCTTCCTCAATCGATTTTTAGTCACCATGTGAGTTTTCACTGCGGCCTCAAGTTCTTCAAGTCTCTGTTGATAATTGGGTCTATCACTTGTGATCATCTCCTCCATTTTCTAGCACTTCTCAATTGTGCTCTGATACCACGTGTCACGGACTAAACTTTCTCTCAACAAGCAATAGATCGTGCGGCACTTGAATGGATGCTTCCACCTAAGTTAGCTCTTAATAGTTTTGATATCTGAACAAATAATCATAAGTCAGAGTTAGTCCCAAGCATACGCGATAAGACACATTCATATCGAGATCAATCTCAAGCATACACAATAAGACACATTCACATCGACAAAAAGAAAAACACATCAAGACAACATTCGAATCAGAGGTGAATTTTATTATAATCGAGGATAGTACATCGGGACTTCTAACCATCGCCAGGCTCAGGGGGCAACCCTTGCGGATGGCTTATGCTCGTATCACGATCGGTGAGACAGCCCAACAGTACGCTGCCCATTCACCCGTTCACCCCCTCTAAAGAGCTTTAGAGATTTTAGAGCTATGTTACCACTAACCATTACAATATTTGAAATGGAAACACTTTTCTTAACTCAAGAGATCTATCCGGTCATGACCTTATACATTGGTGGTTCATGACAACCTAAGTCTCGATCATGACCCTATACAAGGTTGACTTATGACATCCTGTATATTTAGATGCCCTCTAACATCTTTGATGTCAAAATTGCAAGTTTATATTCTCTCAATGTAAGAAAAAATGAAATGGATTATCTTGTATATCATTGCAAGATTCATGGACCCATGAGTTATAAATTGCCTTGAATTGCATTTGGCAATTCATGACACCAGTTTGGTGTTGTGTTTATTTCTAATTAAATTTATGGTTACATATAAAATACGAAATATATATATATTTTTTATCAAATATGTAAATAATGTTTATTAAAATTTTAAATTATACTATTTTTATATTTTTTATGTATTTTTATATTGTATCATTATTTTTTATATTTAAAATTATTAGATTTAATTTAAATTACAATCTATAGTAAAGCCTCTAATTTTTGGTCCATTGCCCTATTTATCATTAGCCCCCAACAATGATAGTAGTTAAAACTAGGAAGAAAGAATCTTACTTTTGATCTAAAATATGTCTAACTGGATTGTAATGATGTGATGAGATGTAGATTAATATATTCTTAGAAAGAAACAAAAATGAAAGCGTAAAGAATTATCAATTCTTGCAACAATATAGATGCAAACATACGAACTTACTCGCATATGCTTGTATCGAACTCAACTAAATATTAGCAACAATCTTCGTATGTTTGTGTACCAAAAGAATTTTAAACACGAGTGTTTTGTCCGATCATGCGCCAACCAACACCAATTGTTTGCTGTATTAACTGTTAAAGCGACACATGTAGTCTTGACTTGAGAAAGAAGCAGCTTTAAACTTAGCCTAGCTTGGCTAGGTATGGGCCTCCTCAACTCAAATTTATCTAATATACTAAAGAAAAACAAAAACATTTTTAAAAGAGATATTGAAATTTCAACAATTCGAAATTTTCAGTTTTTTTTTTTTTTTTTTGTACATAACAAATATGGGGTCTTGGAATAGAGAAAGGGCCATAATTTCCTTCCATTCAATGAACTATGGAATGCTGCGCTTTTCATTTAAAAATTAAAGCTCCAAATAAAGGTTCTTTTGCATAGAAATTGATTTCGAATGAAATTAAAAATATCAATGATAGTAAAATTAGTTATTATATAAAAAAAATTATTGTAATAATGTATGTTTAAATGTAATAATAATAATAATTAATTGGATATGACAAGTGTTTACTAATAGAATTGCATCTCCCGTGCTATTTGAATGCATCTCACAGAGCAATTGAGACACAGGGCTTAGATCCAAATGCACCCTAGATGAGCATCTTAAATTATAACTATTGACGTGGACAAAATGTGTGTTGATAAGAATGAGTGGAAGAAATTTACATAGTTTGTGAAATTTAAAAAAAGAATTAATTTAATAAAAACTGTAATAAAAATTTAAATCAATAAATTGATAAAATTTAATATAAAGATCAACCATATGTAAAAAAAAAATTAAAAAAAATTATTTATAATTTAAATTTGATTAATGTTTATTCAATAATAAAAATTTTATCAATATTTTTAAAAAATATCTATCTAAAATTATATATTAAAATTTTTTCAAATTTTACATACTTGATTTATATAATAAGATCTTTTAATTTATCTATTTTATTTTTTTTTAATTTTATTTAATCAATTTTAATTGAAAACTTAAAGAATTTCATTTAAGAAATTTGGTCTAAAACTTTTCCTGAAATAACCTAAAATTTAAGGAATCTC